TATCAGGAAAGTAAGATTTTAGCTTAGCGGATAGACCCCAATTCAATGTGGCTTTAATCGCAACAATTTGACGTAATCCTTCAACAGTTAAATGTTCTTTATTTTTAACTATATTAAAAGCATTTTTCCAAAGTAGATAATCGGCACATTTTTGTGTTAGTAGCGGATACTTATCTAAGTGATTTATTAAAACTTCTATATTTTTCACTGAACTTAATCTAAACACAAAATATTCCGATCCCTGTTTAATAACACTTCCTGCAGTCAAGTTGTTTTGAATTTGCTCTAAAAGAGTTTTATCTTTAGCATGTAAACCAATTGAAAACCTTAACTCTATATATCAACCTGTTTTACTCCTTTTATCTTGAGCAAGCCTTATATTAAAACAGCCTTCGCCGTCTATAAACCCTGTAATTCACCCCGGTTCCAATTTCGGTTTGGTGTTTAGCGAAGAAGTGAAGCCATTAGTGGTATGGTAGTTTTTCTCCAAAACCTTTAACCTTGTGATCAGCTGTCTGCTAAAGGTCAAAGTATACCGACTTAATAAAACAGGAGTATACACTCCTACTTCGCACAAAATACCGTTAATTCGATGCTTTTTAATATTGCTTTCGACTTTCTTTCCAAGGTATACACCATGGTCCAGTCTAATATCAATACTATTCGTTGAGTAAAATCTCCGTTTTGCACAATTAAAACTTTGATGCATAGGCCCCTTAACTAGAACTGTTCAAGTTCCCGCTACTACGAGCCCTCTGCCATCCTCAAGTATACAACCTGAGGACTTCACCGATACCGCTATAACCTGCTGAGGTTGTGGAACCTCTTGTTTGATAAGAGCTTTCTGACTTTTTCCCTTACCCGTAAGGTAATCCACTCCTTGATTAATTGCTAGTAATCCTAGGTATCTTGATTCTAGAAGGAATGACAGTATTAATACTGTGTGTCCGCTACCACGATAAGTCAATCCAGTTCAACCTTTAAGGTTTCATCTTATAAAACGCATGAGAATCAAGAGATATCAAATATTTGATTCCCTTTCTAAACAGGCTATTTTCCTCCTTTCATTACTGAATGTTGAGTTATTACCCCCAACGGAGTGAGTTCATTTCTCTTCATCTGTTAAACTCAGATGTCATCAACACTTTCAGAGTTGATGCAATTGTCATAGCAGTCGAGCGGTCGCCCTACCAAAAGCAGGTACAATTAATATATAACAATATTTTGATTAAAACAATAGCTGTATATTGGTAATACTAAACAGTCTATTCGTTATTAATACTCAAAAACTTTTATATCTTTGTTAGGACTTTATCTTAAATTGTAGTATTTTCTTCGTGACGATTTATTAAGGATTTAATCACGGTTATTTTAGATAGCCCTTTTTCTGTTAAGTGTTCTTTGTCCTGTATTAATCTATACACTTTTCTTCATCTTAGCTTATATGCTTTCTAGATTGTAAGTGGTATTGATCAAAATATTGTATAACCTTCTTAGCAGAACCGAAGCTCGTAGAACCATAATAGTAACTATCTTGAGATTTTCTATATCCAATATTTCCGGCGCCAGCGAGACTAAAAATTCTTTTATCATAATTAACAATAAATCACTTTTTTTGATCTATTTGAAAATTTAATCTTACTTCAGGTTTATTTTTGGTAATACGTTTAATAATTTTTATTTGAAAACTAGCGTCCGCATCTGAAAAACCTGCTAATCAGTGATTATAAAAATTTTTACTTGAATCCATAGTAAATTTAATATTTTGATCTATATACCTTGTATCACTTAATACATTTTTAACTACTTGGTTAAATCTGTGTTCTGTTCTTAATTTACCATTTATTAAATTAATTACACGTAACATACCTTCTTTATTAGATATTATTAAAAGGTATGCATTTTTATCCTTTACTTTTTTTACATTACCGTAACCTAATTTTTCTTTTAAATAAAATTAATTTAGTTATTTAATATGGCGCCTTATATGTTGGTATCGTAAGCCTTAAATTTACTAAGTTATAACACACAAAAAAATCTCCGTTTTTGGGGTGTCGTATTTTAATTAGGCTTTAATTTAATCAATTTCCTCTCCTAGTTTTGCTAATAAACGCAGATCGAATTAAACATTTGCTAAACTAAACATTTGCTAAATTCGGTATTAAAAAAAAAAAATAAATGAACTAAACGTTCAGTTATAGTATTTAAACTAAAAATACGCCTAAAATAACAACATAATGCTAAAATAAGGCTAAAGTAAAACAAGCTTTTTTAAACCTAAAGCTTAAAATATAGCTAATAAAAATCGGTTAGACTTTCCGTCCTCTATTAATTCCTGCTTTGATTCGGCGAATATTTTCTAAACCATCAGCTGTCAAATGAGCTTTATTTTTCATTAGTTCGGCTACTAGTTTAAAATCCTCATAATCTTGAGATTTAACCCCCATGATAAGATATTTATCAAAAAACGGAATAATTTTTTCAATAATATCAGAAAATTTTGCAACTCTAAAATCAATAGCAACTCCAGTTGTATAACATTTTCCAGCTTTGAAATAAATAAAATTTCTTATTAATTGCTCATCACGAAGACTTTGAGTAACTTGGAATTCTAAACTGACAGCTTCACCCAATTTAGTTTTCGCAGGTTTTAATTTAATCATAAAACAAGCCTCAGCCGAAACGAACCCGGCTACTCAATTAGAATCTAATATTTGGGGCACTTCTACTAAAGGTCTTGTAAAAATAATGTCTTCTCCGGTGCTACGCAGAAATTCCTCTCTTAATTCCTGAGGCAATCCCCTATTTATTGAAGATTTAATAGTCACAACTTTTCGTAATCCTTCAATAGTTAAGTGTTCTTTCCGATTAATTATATCAAAAGCCAATTTAAACAATTCAAAATCTGCCCTTTTCTGAGTAATTAGGGGATAATTAGTAAAAAACGGAAGAATTATGTTAGTTAATTCCTCTTGAGAAAAAACTTGATATTGAACGCCTGTTTCACCTTGGTGATAAATCTTCCCTATTCCTCCAAAATAAGCTTGTATATTTTCTAATATGGGTTGATCTTTTTTTTATGAAGAGTAATTGAAAACATAGCTTTAATTCTTCAACCTAGTTTATACTGGGGATATTTTAAAATACTAATAGTAAAACATCCTTCACCATCCACAAACCCACTTATTCAATTTGGGTCAATTTTGTGGTTGTTAATTACCATATTACCTTTACTATCTGCAGAAAAGACTTTTTTAGATTCAGTTGAATAATTTAGTTTTTGACTTTTAAAAATATTTAAATAAACTTTCCTTCATTTTAGATAATTAACGTGCTTTCTGGATAATAAAAAATATGTATCGAAATACTTAATAACTTTTCTAGCCGAACCCAAGCTAGATGAATCATATCTATAACTATCTTCGATATCGTTATAAGATATGTTACCGCCTAAAAAACTTTTTATTAATGTAAGAAGATTTTTATTTTCATTATTTATTATTAAAGATAGTTTTATTTGATCTTTTAAGTTTATTATCTGAAATAATGCTAAACTATCCGAAAATCCGGCTAATCAATGATTATTTAAACAATTTGATTTGTTTAATTTAAAATCCATTCTTAGATTTAAACAAGGATCATTACAAATATAATTATTTATATTATCGTATTTTGATTGTGTTATAATTTTTCCATTTATTAGATTAAATACTTTATCTAATCCTTTACTTTTTGTTATAATGAGCAAAAAGATTTTTGGAGATTTTACTTCTTTCACAGTACCGTACCCTATTCGGCTTTTTAAATAAAAGGCTAGAAATGCATCTGGAGAACTAAAAACTATAACTAATTGCCGAGCTTTACTAAAATAACCGTCACCGTCTATTAATCCTGCTAAGTAATAACCAAATTGTTCGTCGTTTAAAGGCTTAAAATGTTTAGGTACGTGATCTGATACACGTTTTACATTTTCTGAGCTAACTTCAATTCCGCTACGTAAAGCCTCTGAGGTTCCATGTTCAAATTTTAGGTATATAATGTTACCTGCTGATTTACTTCTTTGTTCTAACTTTTTAACTATGTCATTTAAGAAGGAGTATTTAGAACTTTGTTGCGAAACAGTTCCAGCATATTGCAGCGTTAAGAAGCCTATATATATAACGAGGGCGACCTCAGGATGCTACACCAAAAAAAGGTGTTTGGACCATATCTTTAAACTTGAAATTTATTCATAGTTATTTCATTTTTTTAAAAACACTTCCCAACTTTTATGTAATAAAGTATTAGAATCTGCTAAATGAGCTTTCATACTTTTCAATTCATAAAATTTATGGACAAGATGTAATCTATTATTTTTTGCGGATCTGGATGGGTGTTTTTTAAAATATTCTATTAAATTTAAAACATCTTCCTTTTTAGTAACATATCACTTAAAAGACCCATGGCCTCCTCTATCTATGTATACATATCCTCCATATAATTCTACTAAAGGAGTCAATAATTCAGAAGTTTTTTGACCAGCTGAAATTGACATTTGTCAATTAGAACTATTTACAGCAATAGATCCGTCAGCGTCAAAAAACCCACTTAACCATCCATTATTAATTGTTAGTTTTTCAGGATAAATCAAATCTATCTCATATTTAATACAAATATAATTCAATTGAATTAATCTATGAGGATTTCTTATTTTCCCGTTAATATCGTTAATAAGATTTAATAAATCAGCTTTACTGTGTAATCTATATCTCAATGCACTAGCATTAGATCTTAATTTTATGGAACCACCATAAACATTTTTAACAGCTTGTAAAGCCCGTTCATCTCTAATATCCATAGTAATTTCTAAACTAGCGTATCCTTTTTTGATAATAAAAAACAACCATCTCCATCAATTAATCCTGCTAATCATTCTAAAAATTTAAGATCTTTATCAGAATTACGTAAAGTATGAATAAACTTTTTGTTTAACAAACGTATGGCCTCTGAAGTTCCTACTTGCGTGCTTGGCGCGTTGGTTACTTGCGAATTATCGTAAATTCAATGGATTTTTACTATAGTGGTATATTTTTTTAACGCTTTTGATACAAAACGCAAAACGGAAAGCGCAAAGCAAAAGCAATTACTTTCAAGGTTCTTATAAGGTAATGAATCGTCAGGGTTAGATATTCTACTTCTACTCATTCTGCCCTTTATTTCAATAATTTTATCGTCGCGGAGCGGATACCCTTCAGGAGTTAAATGCTCTTTAATTTTCATTATTTCTGCAGCTTCACAGAAATCCGCAAAATCTAAAGCTTTAATACCTCGGATAGGGTATTTCTTAAATAACGGTAGAATTTTTTCATAGATATCAGTAAATTTTGTAACAACAAAGCTAGAAAGTGAAGTTTTAGTATTAGTAAATCTTAAACCACAACCTAGAAAATCTTTAAAACTTTCTAATAAAGCTTCACCCCGTGAATTCTGATAACTAGTGAATTTTAAAGAAATTGTTTTACCATTAACCTGTATACAAAAAGATCCATCACCACTTGTAAAACCAGCCAATCAACCAGGATTCTCAATTCTTTTATTGAGAACTAAAGGTCTTGGTACAGATTTAACTATAGGAAAGAGTTGAATTAAATAATCTCCTTTGAGTATACCTTTATTCATATTAGTTTTTATAGCTACTAACTTTTCTAACCCTTCAGTTGTTAAATGAAGTTTATTAGAATAAATTTCAAAAGCTTGCTTGAAAAGTAGATAGTCTCCTAGTTTTTGAGTTATAAGACTATATTTATCAAGGAAATTGATCAATATTTCCAACTCTTCAGTCTTTCTCACTCTAAGTTGAACAGCATGTCTTCCTAAGTTAGATATCCGCCCAATTCCACCTAATGATAATCTTCTTGATTCTAAAAGCACAATATCGTTTTGATGTAAAACAATAGCAAAAGTTAGATTTACCTTTATTCCCGTTTTATAGGATTTACTCTTCTGAAGAAATAGCATAAGGCTACCTTCTGAGTCAATAAACCCGGAAATAAAAAAAGGATCAACCTGATAAAAAGTATTGTTATTATTAAACTTAAAATAGTATCGAACACCTTTTGTGTGTATAATATATCTAGGAAGTATATTAATTTTAGGGCCCGGTTTATGAGAATACCTTTCGCTTGTACTTTGCAAAAAAACCCAACCTCCCTCCGGAATATAACTTATACTATTTCTAAACACATCCAAAAACAGCCTAAAATCTAACATACAAACATTAGATTCTAACAAATTATCGGAAGTGTTTACCGGTTTTTTACTTCTGCTCATGTTCATCCCTGATTTAATTTTTCTAATTTTTAATAGCCCCTCTTCAGATAAATGCTCCTTATTTTTTATTAAAAAAAAAGCTTTACAAAAATCTTCATATTCTAATCTTTTTATTCCTATCCCTCCCCCTCACTCGAAGAGTGAGGGGGAGAAGAGTAAAGGATAATTTACAAAAAAAGGAATAATTTTTTCAATATCAGTGATCTTTTTACATTGAACCATTGCAGCATTAGCTGAATTATCTTGTACTGTACCACAATCTAAATGCTCAACTATTCTTCTTAATAACTCTATATCACGTTTGTGTTGACTAATTTTAAAAAGTAAGTAAACATTAAAATTTACTTTAATCTTAGTATTTTTAGTTATCCCTATAAAAAAACAACCTTCCCCGTCTACAAACCCTACTATTCAATTAGGGTTTATTTTCTCCGGAATAATTACCTCAGGTCTATTTACAAGATCTATTTTAAATCTAGTGGCTAAAATAGAATCTTCAGTTAAACCTTTATTCATAGAAGCTCTGATATTAACAATTTCTTGTAGTCCTTTTAAAGTTAAATGTTTTTTATCCTTAATCATTAATACTGCGCTTTTAAATAATAAATAATCTGCATGCTTTTTAGTAATTAAAGGGAATTTATCAAAATGAGGTAATATAACATTTACTATGTCATCCATAGAATTCACAGAATAAACAATAGAATCGTTACTATTCTCTACTAATTTACCTACACCCTCGAAATAAGATTGAATACGACTTAAAAGTTCTTCATCTTTATTGTGAATATGTAAAGAATATTTAGCTTGTACCTCTCAACCAGTTTTACGTTCTTTTTTCTCATATATAGATAAAATAAAAGAAGATTCTGCATCTGAATACCCAGTTATATATCAGGGATCTAAACTATGTGCTACTGATGTAGCATTAGAAGAATTAAGCTTACCGGCATAATTGTTAAAATACCTTGCCATAAAATTAGATACAAGATGGACAGGAGGTGATGAAAAAATAGTACCTAATGAATATAAAACGAACTCCTCGCAATTAGTTTGTTGCATAAATTTAAAATTTAAGGGCCACTGTTGCAACATAATGTTTCATGA